ACTGAACTACTGCACTACTGAACTACTGCACTACTGACTACTGCACTGCTGACTACTGCACTGCTGACTACTGAACTACTGCACTGCTGACTACTGAACTACTGCACTGCTGACTACTGCACTGCTGACTACTGCACTACTGACTACCGCACTACTGACTACTGCACTGCTGACTACTGCACTGCTGACTACTGCACTACTGACTACTGAACTATATAGTTACAATCCAGTTTCTCTTTATTTTTCTCATTTCGTTTTTCACCTTAAATTCCCCCCCCCACTGGGCACAGATGACAATACAACGTCTATTCCATATTGGTTCAACGTAATTTCACTGAAATGAAATCTCCCTGGCTTATGCATTTTTAAATCTTCATCTTAGGGGCTTGGCTTTTCCACTTAGTTGCTTTATGAACAGGTCAAAGCCTCCACAGATGTTCTACATTTGGCCATCAGGTTACATGGGCACAGCAGTGAGGTGTTGCAGACCCAGGGATGTCTCTCGCTGAGAGAAGTAAATAAGGGATGTTATGAGCAGAAGTAAATAAAGGTAGTATCTTATATACAGTGCATTCAGAAAAGTATTCAGACCCCTTGACTTTTTCCATATTTTGTTACGTTACAGCCTTATTCTAAAATGGTGTAAATCATTTTTTCCCCTCATTAATATACACACAATACCCCCATAAGGACAAAGCGAAAAACTGGTTTTTTGAAATGTTTGCAAATGTGTATATACATTTTTTAAAATAAAAAATACTTATTTACGTAAGTATTCAGACCCTTTGCTATGAGACTCGAAATTGAGCTCAGGTGCATCCTGTTTCCATTGATCATCCTTGAGATGTTTCTACAACTTGATTGGAGTCCACCTGTGGTAAATTCAATTGATTGGACATGATTTGGAAAGGCACACACCTGTCTATATAAGGTCCCACAGTTGTCAGAGCAAAAACCAAGCCATGAGGTCGAAGGAATTGTCCGTAGAGATCCGAGACAGGATTGTGTTGAGGCACAGATCTGGGGAAGGGTACCAAAAAATGTCTGCAGCATTGAAGGTCCCCAAGAACACAGTGGCCTCCATCATTCTTAAATGGAAGAAGTTTGGAACCACCAAGACTCTTCCTAGAGCTGGCCGCCCGGCCAAACTGAGCAATCGGGGCAGAAGGGCCTTGGTCAAGGAGGTGACCAAGAACCCGATGGTCACTCTGACAGAGCTCCAGAGTTCCTCTGTGGAGATGGGAGAACCTTCCAGAAGGACAACCATCTCTGCAGCACTCCACCAATCAGGCCTTTATGGTGGAGTAGCCAGACGGAAGCCACTTCTCAGTAAAAGGCACGACAGCCCGCTTGGAGTTTGCCAAAAAGGCACCTAAAGGACTCTCAGATCATGAGAAACAAGATTGAACTCTTTAGCCTGAATGCTAAGCGTCATGTCTGGAGGAAACCTGGCACCATCCCTACGGTGAAGCATGGTGGTGGCAGCATCATGTTGTGGGGATGTTTTTCAGCGGCAGGGACTGGGAGACTTGTCAGGATCGAGGGGAGGCTGAACGGAGCAAAGTACAGAGAGATCCTTGATGAAAACCTGCTCCAGAGCGCTCAGGACCTCCGACTGGGGCAAAGGTTAACCTTCCAACAGGACAACAACCCTAAGCACACAGCCAAGACAATGCAGGAGTGGCTTCGGGACAAGTCTCTGAATGTCCTTGAGTTGCCCATTCAGAGGCCGGACTTGAACCCGATCGAACATCTCTGGAGAGACCTGAAAATAGCTGTGCAGCGACGCTCCCCATCCAACCTGACAGAGCTTGAGAGGATCTGCAGAGAAGAATGGGAGGAACTCCCCAAATACAGGTGCACCAAGCTTGTAGCGTCATACCCAAGAAGACTCGAGGCTGTAATCGCTATCAAAGGTGCTTCAACAAAGTACTAAGTAAAGGGTCTGAATACTTATGTAAATGTGATATTTCAGTTTTTATTTTTAATACATTTGCAAAAATGTCTTACCCTGTTTTTGCTTTGTCATTATGGGGTATTGTGTGTGTGTAGATTGGAAAAATAACAATTTCATCAATTTTAGAACAAGGCTGTAACATAACAATGTGGAAAAAGTAAAGGGGTCTGAATACTTTCCGAATGCACTGTAGATTTACATTTGCCACCTCCCTCTACCGCCTCGTCCTGTCTGTGTGATAGCGAGCACTTGTTGGCTGATGAAACAAACAAACGGACCAGGAGGGTTTTGTGAATGGAGCCAGGCCTAGGAAGGGGGAAACCCCCGTACTTTCTGTCTCTCTCTGTGGTGACTCAGATTCCTAATAACCCGCAGTGTCGTGTGGATTCTGCTGCTTCTGTTTTGATGTTCCATTTAGGGCAGGCTATTGTTTCAATTTAGTCTCTCTGGACTTTGGTTAAACAGATGAGCACAATGTGAGCGTGGCGTGAGCAAGAGAATTGTTGTATTAAAAGTAGAAACATTACTGTAGTCGTGTGTGGA